GTTAACTACGTGCTTTAAAAAAATAATTATACATTTTGATGGCATGGACTTTACCTTTAGCACTTATAGAATTTTAGAAAAGTTGCAGTTTCGAAAAATATATTAATATCTATGATACTTCAATATTAAAAATTTGCAAAAAACTGGTCTTATAGATAAGGATTAATTTTAGCGGTCATTTTATATTTTTAAATATTTTTAAATTTCGCTATGCTAAGATAGAACAAGCGCAACATTACTTTTGCAGAATTTTAAAATTTTTTGAGCTTTTTTGTCAAAAATGGCATTTTAATGAATTTGAGGAGCTATCACTTTCAAATGGGGGAAATAGATAAAATGCAAAAAGTTCCTAGCAAAGATCTATTTATATATAAAATTTCAGTTTTATATCTTCAAGGATGCAGAGGATTTTGTAAACGGGTCCACGGACGGTTGCACGGTCAGAATGAAACTAATAAGTATTTTTTTTTTTTTTTTTTTTTGGAAAAGTGCTAAAAATCACTGATTTATTAAATAAATACTCCTTATTTTGTTTTCTTATTTTTAATATTGATATTTTTTCATAGTTACTTAATCATCATATTTTAAATATACAAAAAAGATCACATAAAAAATAAAATAAACATTTTGAATTTATATAACAAACAGAAAAAGGTTTGCAAGCAGTAGGCTAACATAAACTATTACAAATAAATTAAAAAAAAAAAATTAAATAAGATTTTTTATAATAAGCTGCAGCGCTGTGTAGCTTTGTGGGTTAAGACTATGCAGCTCTTAGTGAGCCAAAATTATTATTGACGTTAAATTTAAAACTATATTTCGTTACTATTATTTTTGTCCAAAATTTAAGGATTTATTTTAATATGGAATTATTGTAATCTTATTACGTTTACATTAATTTTAGTTCTTTTATTTCATAATTGTTTATATCAAATATTCGCATTCTTTTTTATCAAAATTTCTTCCCTATTCGAGTTTTTAACATGATTTTAATTTTTATGTAATCTCTTTACAATATTTCTTCTTAAGTTTTTTATTAATTTAAATTAACAATAGCTTTAGTTTTCGAGAAATAATTTTGGTTTACTATCAAATTTACTACCTATTATAAATTTTTTGTGTTGAATATAGAGCGCTATTCCGATCGTTGAACTTGATAATGTAAATAACATTGTTTAATTAAATTTGTTACGTGTATTGTTGTAAGAACTATTTGTTTTTTCAATAAGAAAATAGCAGCACTTACTATTTCGTTTAATATAGAAAGAGCTCCCGTAACTTCAAATTTATATTGCAGTGCTGCAAATATGAACAATTTTTAATAAATTTGTAGATAAAATCTGAGCAAATTTTTTAATGATTAAAAATGTTTTAATTTAACATTTGCCAAAATATGTACATAAGTCGGTAATTAGTTTTCTCCTAAATTTTTAATAGATCTATGCTTTGAACATCAATTTCGGATGTAGTTAACTTAATTTCCCTGCACTCTGCAATGATATTAGCAGATATTAGTTTAGCCATGATATAAAAGCATCAGCTAATTTCGAGTGAATATTATAACAGGCATCTAATATAGAATATTGTAATATAATTTAACTCCAATAAAATATCTTTCAAGAAATTTCTATTATTGAGATCGCTTTTTGATACAAATATAGATTTTTCTGTATTTTTAGCACTTTTCCAAAATATTTTTGGAAAAAAGTGCTTATTAGTTTCACTCTGTCCGTCGGTCTGTCCATCCGTCCGTCCATCCGTGGATATGTTTACAAAACTTCTACACCCTTGAAGATAGGAAACTGAAATTGAATGCGTATATCTTGAGTAGAAACCTATTTCCTTAGAACTAAATTTTTACCTATCTCTACCCCTCTAGAAGTTATAGACCCCGAAACATTAAAAATTGCCTTTTTTAAACTATTTGTTTCAGTGAAACCATAAGTATTTTTCAAATTTTGTAAACGCACTATAATTAACCTTTAAAAAATACAAAATGGCCGTTCAAATCAACCGTTATTTAAAATCCGTTTTTTCCAAATTTTTGATGTCGTTTTTCTTCTAGATCCCCGGCTGTAGGAGCCTAAAATTGTTGCTCAGCAGCTGTTAGACACTACTTTAATCACTAATAGTTTATTTCGTTAAAAGAAAATTTTTTTCCTTTTCACTCTCTCTCAAGTTATCGCCTCGTGAAATTTGTAAAATTTGAATTTTTGACGCCTTATATTTTCAAAACGGCAAATTTTCTCAAATTTCTATAAAGGCAGAAAGGACGGTAAATTCCATGATACTAAAAAGTAAAATTATTTTTCTTAACTTACACAATTAACTCTTAAAATCGAGCATTATGTTAACCTCTATTTATTTTAATTTTTGCTTTATTTAGTCTTTTAAGACTGCATTAATCGTTCATCCTAAATATATGCAATCCTAGTAACAGTTTCATTAAAAAAAAACTTAAATAGTATGGTATGTATATATAATCCATTCACTTGTCGAAAAGAAAAGTGCTACAATACAAACAATTGGTTTGATCCAACTTTATTATACGAGTACATACCATTAATTTTTTTTTAAAAATTCTTCTAACGAAATAAATTATTTATAAGCGTCGAAAAGCCACTAAAATTTCAGACTATTAAAACTTTCCTTTAAACGACAAAATGAAACTATTTTTTGATTTTGAAGAAGAAGAGTTAAATAGCAAAAATTGAAATATTTCAGGTAAAAAACAAATAAAGTCAACAATCTGCTTTTTTAGTAAGCTCGCTACAGCAATCCGTAGTAAGGAAATCTGCACCTTAGCCTCTATTTATTTTACTTACTATTATCCGTTTATTTTTTATACATTAGCATCTTTCTTCAATAAATTTTGCATCAACACCACTCATCAAATTTTGCGCCATCAGAGAAAATTGCTTTGTGTGATGTTCTCTATCAAATCTATTTGCCAAATTTCAGTAACATTTCTAGAACATTGGTCAACTTAGGTTTTGCGAACATTAAATGATCTTGAAAAGGCTTCTTTTATTACCCACTAACTTCACATATAATTACCAGCTTTCAGAAATATTTCAGAAACCTATAACATCAGCTTTTATTAAAACTTTTTCTTTGTTACAAATGCTAATATTGTTTATCTGCATGTTTTTTTAAATTTGTTCCACGCATTGCAAAATATTTTTTTAATTTATTCCAGTAACTTAATTTTTTTAAAGATGTAAAACATTTTAGTCAACTTCTGAACTCTGCGATACTATATATAAATTTCAATATTTTGTAAAAGAGACTTCATAAAACCTTAATTTTTTTAAATAGAAGGTTAAATTCATAGTAGATGGAGATGGAATTTTTTTCAAACAAGTAAACTTTTTTTTAATTAGAGAGAATAAGTTTTATTTTTTTTAGAAAAATATTAGAAATTCTTGTTTTTGAAATAAATACAAGTAAAAACGTTTCAGTTGGTTTAAACCGACTGAATTATACCCTGCACCTTTCATTGTTTTAAAGCGATTACTGGAACCTGCGAAACCATTCTACAGAAACTTCACGGATATGCCCGTCCTATAATTGGGAACACGACTGCCAAGTTTCATAAATCTGACTTTATTATATTTCAAAATATTTAAAATAAGCTTTTGGAGTTGTATGGGAGCTACTGGAACCTGTAAAGAAATTTTACCAAAACTTCCGAAATGTATCTGAACTATAATGGGACACACGACCGCTAAGTTTCATGAATCTGACTTTATTATTTTTCTAACTATTTAAAATTAGATTTTGTGGCAGCTATCCTAACGCGTTTTCTGAATTGGTCTAGTTACAATAAGGTTCGTCCTTGGCACAAAAGAAACAACTTGTGAAAATTTGGTGTTGATTGTATTATTCGTTTTGGAGTTATCGTGCGATCCGTCCATCCGAATGACGGACATGCCTAAATCAACACAAAATTTTACGCTGAGCAAGAATATATATATATATATATATGTCCATACCGCAAATGATTCCTTCAAGTAGTTACAAACCCCGTACCAACCTTGATATACCCTTCACGAAGGTGGAGGGTGGAGTATTTATTTCTGCTAATGAAATAAAATATTTATGAATTTCTAAGAGCTACTAAAATTTCAAACTATAACAACCTGAGGTATAGAAGAAAAACGACATCAAAAATTTAGAAACAACAGATTTTAGATAACGATGAATTTTATAGGCCATTTTATTTTCGCAAATTTCACAAGTAGTATGCCGTGGTAAGAGAAGCCAGCTGCCACTTTTCTGTCTTTGCAAAATTTAAAAACAGTTTCTGGTTTTCCTGCAATATTTACTTAAAAAATGGCTTTTTAGGGTTTTTGGGACTATAACTTTTAGAGGAAGGAGGTAAGCTTTTTTATTCGAAAGCTTCTTTATTCCAAAGATTTTTTTATTCGAAAGCTTCTTTATATTCAGGAAGGGTAATATTTTTTTATTCTCTTTTCAGTTAAAACGTTAAAAGTTTCGCAATTTTAACTTAGTCCTTCACAACGTCCTATAACATCCAATTAATCTCAAAAAGCTTTTAATTTCCCTAGATGTTTTAGGAATTGGAAATTTATTTATCGTTTCAATCTTATTGGGATTGGGCTTTATGCCCTTAGTCGTGATAATGAGGGCCAGAAACTCAGTTTCTTTTTCGTAAATTCACTTGTATCCAACTGAATTTTTAAATTCGCGCTGTTAATTTTATTCAATATTTTGGAGACATTATAAAATGCTCCTCTTTACTAGTGCAGAATATGGCAAACTTGTTGTAAAATTAAAATAAAATCTTGATGGAAGTAACATTAAGTCTTACTAGAGAAAATGACTACCGTCAGTGAATGATAAATCAATTGTTTGATCAATTTAAAAAAGTTACAAACCGTATTTAAAAGCAATTGAAGTATTGTCTGTAAAAGTAAAAGAAGTATTGGCCTGAAAAAGTTGAAATTTATCGAATGAATATGATATCATTAGCTTACCTTCCAGTTTTCGTAATTATCATTTCTGTTCCTAGTTCATGAAATTTATCCCATAATTCTTTTGTTTCCAAGTGACATTGTACCGGTTTTAAATCGTCACAGTTGCATGAACCTTGTATTTGTGGACGTGACTATTGCCCATTTTTTAACAATTTTCCAAGTAACCAATTATATTTAGATGTTGCAACGATCCGAGAAGAAAAGAAAAACGTATATATTAGATAAATAAGAGATGTTCCACTAAAAATTACTTTTTTCGTTTTTAATTTTTCTGTTGTAGTAGAAGAAGTAGTTGAGCTACTATTTGATGTACTAGTAGTAGGAGTATTGTTATCTAGCTTTGTATTATTGTTGAAGTTGTTTACCTGAACTGGTTCCGGTGTTAATCTATCGCATTCCGACTCAGAAGGCGATGTAGGTGACGCACAGGATACACTATCTTTAATGCTATTATTATTATTATTATTATTATTATTGTTATTATTGTTATTATTATTATTATTATTATTATGATTATTATTATTATTATTATTGTTGCTGTTCGTGTTGTTGTTATTATTATTATTATTATTATTATTATTATTACTATTACTATTATTATTAGTGCTATTATTATTGTTATTGTTACTATTTAATTGATTTTGACTGTGTCTGCAGTTACGTTGAGGCGCTTCGGAATCACTACATTGTTCCACGTCTACATCGACATCGTCATCGACTTCTGGATAACGATCTACAGACAGAGGACCTTAAAATAAAAAATTTCAAAGAATGCGAGTGTAAGATGTTAATATATTTAAGAGTAATTTTATATAATACATTGTGTTAATCCAAAATTTTTAAAAAATAATATCCATACTAAAAATATTTTCACAAAAAAAAAGTTCACCATCATTTGCGGATAGTATAGAAAATACCATCGTGCTTTTTTCTCTCGAATAAGCTTTGCTGATACATTTTTAACAGGAAAAAAGAAGGAAAAAATTAATTATTTAGCAAAATTTTAGACTGCCTTTAGAACAAAAAATATTTTCCGGATTTTATATAAGTATATAAAATTCGAGTAAAACTGAAGGGCTAAAATATAATTAAAAAGGAATGAAAGTCAAAAAATAGCAAAGACACTAAAAAGAGCATCAATTGAACTATTCAAATGTTCTAATGATACCTTTTTATACCCTGCACTTCGTGAAGGGTATATTAACTTTGGTATGGAGTTTGTATACTTGAAGGAGTCATCTGCGGTATGGACATATATATATATTCTTGCTCAGCGTAAAATTCTGCGTCGATTTAGACATGTCCGTCTCTCCGTCCGTCCGTCCGTCCGTCCGTCCGATCGCACGATAACTCAAAAACGAATAATGCAATCGACACCAAACTTTCACAAGTTTTTTCTTTTGTGCCAAGGACGAGCCCTATTGTTATTGGACTAATTCGGACAACGGGTTCGGGTAGCTGCCATACAACTCAAAGAGTTTATTTTAAATATTTCAAAAACTAATAAAGGTATAAATATAAAATTTTGTATACATGTGTCCAATTATATTCTACACATGTTCTAAAAATTATAATGGGATAGCTGCACCGGTTCGGGTGGCTGCCATACAACTCCAAAAGCAAATTTTAAATATTTTGAAGAAATATAAAGTCAGATTCATGAAACTTAGCAGTCATGTGTCCAATTATAGGTCAAATATATTTCTGAAGTTTTAGAGGAATCGCTTGACAGGTTCGGGTACCTGCCATACAACTCCAGAAGCTAATTTTAAATATTTGGAAAAATAATAAAGTCAGATTCATGAAACTTGGCAATCATGTGTCCAATTATGGCTCAAATATATTTCTGAAGTTTTGGTGGAATTGCTCGACAGGTTCGAGTAGCTCCCATACAAGTCTAAAAGCTTATTTTAAATATTTGGAAAAATAATAAAGTCAAATTCATGAGACTTGGCAGTCGTGTGTCCAATTATAGGTCCGACATATTTCTAAAGCTTTGGTGCGATTTCTTGGCAGGTTCGAGTAGCTCCCATGCAAGTCTAAAAGCTTATTCTTAATATTTGGAAAAATAATAGAGTCAGATTCATGAAACTTGGCAGTTGTATGTCCGATTATAGATCAGATATATTTGTGAAGTTTTGATGGAATTGCTTGACAGGTTCAGGTACTTGCCATAAAACTCCAAAAGCTTATTCTAAATATTTGGAAAAATAATAAAGTCAGATTCATGAAACTTGGCAGTCGGATGTCCAATTATAGGTCAGACATGTCCGTGAAGTTTCTATAGAATGATTTTAGAGGTTCAAGTAATTGCTACACAATAACGAATGGTGCAGGGTATAATTCAATCGGTTTATACCGACTGAAACGTTTTTACTTGTTTTGCATATACTTTAACAAAAGCGATTTAAGAACCACCTATCTATAATTAATCCAATCTTGTAATAATTCTGCTGAAAGCTTACCAATAAAAATTTTGTGCTAGACAAAAATTTAAAAGGTTTGATTTTACTCTTTTATTTTCTGAACCGATGTTAAAAATTACAAATATGTAAAAAAAATGAAACAGAACAGAAAAAATCATATTAATTTCATTACTTAAATCTTATTCTTTATACATATGTAGGTAGAAAAAGGCGATTGAAAATGCTTTTTTACGCTAATGTATTATTGAAATATTTTTTATACGAAGAGCTATGAAATAAATTGAAATGACAATAATGTATGTATATGTTATATAAACGTTTCATATTAGATTTTATTTTAAAAATAGCAAATTCAAACTTCCGAATTTTCGTTTCTATTTCTTATCGTAGATTGTTATAATGGATGGAAATTATAGTGCTACAATAGAATAAAAGCTTCTCTTTATTTCCATATATAGAAATAAAGAGAAGCTTTTAGTTAACATACCTAAAAAAACGTGAATTTGGATTTTAGTAGAGTTTCATTTTGTGGTGTCCGAATTAAACGAAAAGCTCGTCAGTAGCTTCTGGTAACAACCAGAACTCAAATATTAAATTTTAAAAATTCCGAAGATATGGTGAAAAATGTAAATTCGGCCAACAGATCAGTTTGCGAGCCTTAATTTTTCCAAAAAAATTTATAAATTTATTGTTTTAACACTTCGAATTTAAATATTAAATTTCAATGAAATCGGTTGATTATTTCTCTTTATAAACGTCCAGTTGTTGACACCTGATTTCTTCCAAATGTTAGGAGTATTCGCATGTGGTCGAATGAAGCTTATATATGAAATTTTAAGTACATCTGCTAAACATTTTCTTCTAAATGACAAAAAATGTAAAGCAGATCCGCTAAACAGTCCACTTCCCGAGCCCTAATATATTCCAAAAGTTGATCAATCCGTAGTTGAAATATAAAATATATAAAATTTCATCAAAATCCGCTCAACCGAACTTGAGCGACAGATTGCTAAAATTAGTTTATTTACACTTCCCTACTATGAAAAAGTGCATTCCCACCGAAAACTGGTTGTTGCTTTTTTTCTTAGAAAACTATGCCGCGCTGGTACAAAAAGTAACCAAAGAAGATTCTGCTATTTTTTTTATAAAATTAGTGCACTTCATTAAAAAATTATAAAATATTTAATAATAAGTGCCAAAAAAAATATTATTTTATAAAAACTTATAAAAAAATTTTAACAAGTGAATAAAAATAAAATAATTTGTTGAAAAAGAAAAAGGTGTACAGTAATAAATTGCTATTCCCATTTGCAAAAACAAAATATAGTTTTTTACACCACATAAATGACTGCATTATTCATTTCCATTACTAAAAGAAATATTTATTCAATAGTGCTTTGATTAATTCATAATTTGTAATTTTATTCAGTTTGTAATTTTGATCTTCATACTCGTAAGAACGTGTGTTGGAGGGGTATGCTAAATTTGCCTTACCGTTTGTAACACCAAAACATAATTGTCTGAGATATGAACTCAAGTAAACAACTTCAAAATTTATTTGGCTATATCTCAGAAACTATAAAAGCTGTGGTATTGAAATTTCATATCTTAGTAGGGTTAATGTGTCCAATAAAACTCGTTGAAATTGCTCAGCTCCTTTTAGTAGCTGCCATACAACTTCAAAAGTTATTTGTCTGAATCTCAAAAACCTCAAAAACTGCGGTATTGAAATTTCACTCAAGTGAATATATTAGTAGGGCCAATGTGTTTGATAAAAGTCGTTGAAATTGTTTAGCTCCTTTTGGTAACTGCCATGCAACTTCAAAGTGATTTGGCTATATCTCAGAAACTATAAGGGCTATGGTATTGAAATTTCGCACAAGCAAATATATTAGTAGGACTTACGTGTTTGATAAAAGTCGTTGAAATTGCTTGGCACCTTCTGGTAACTGCCATACAACTTCAAAAGTTATTTTTCTGTACCTCAGAAACTATAAAAGCCGAGGTATTGAAATTTCACACAAGCGAATATATTATTAGGGCTAATGTGCCTGATAGAAGTGGTTGAAATAGATGGGCTCCTTCTGGCAGCTGCCATACAACTACAAAAGTTATTTAGCTATATCTCAGAAACTATAAGAGCTATGGTATTGAAATTTCACACAAGCGAATATATTAGTAGCGCTAATGTGTCCAATAAAGCTTGTTTAAATTGCTTGGCTCCTTCTGGTAATTGCCATACAACTGCAAAAGTTATTTGTCTGGTATGGAAATTTCACACAAACGAATATATTAGTAAAACTAATGTTCCTGATAGAAGTCGTTGAAATAGATGGGCTCCTTCTGGTTGCTGCCATACAACTTCAAAAGTTATTTGGCTATATCTCAGAAACTATATGGGTTATGGTATTGAAATTTCGCTCAAGCAAATATATTAGAAGGGCTAATGTGTCCAATAAAACTCATTGAAATTGCTTGGCTCCTTCTGGTAGCTGACATACAACTTCAAAAGTTATTTGGCTACATCTCAGAAACTGTATAAGCTGTGGTATTGAAATTTCATACAAGCTAATAATATAAGTAGGGCCAATGTGTTTGATAAAAGTTGTTAAGATTTCTTGACTCCTTGTGGTAGCTACTATACAACTTGAAAATTATTTGGCAATATCTCAGAAAATATTGGAGCTATAATATAAAAATTACGTGAAAACAAGAGTGTTATTAGTGCTGTTATATAGTCTTAGTCAGCTATGATATATTTAGCTGCACATACTCGTAAAATAAGAAATTCGTACGGATATCAAAGAGTTTCTCTATTTATCTCGTTTTATTTAAAGTACATGAGGTTTCATGTAAAAAATATTATTTTAAGTTTAAGTTTTTATTATGATACTTTTAATTCGAATTTATACTTTAATTTGTTTATAATTTATGTTTAAAGTTTCTGCTTTGTTTTTCCGATTTTTATTGTATTCGTACGGTAATAAATTGTTTTTTTTTTTTATGAAATATAGGAAATGGCTCCCTTTTTTGAGTATATCAGCTCCCCATTCAAAAAATCAAACCACAGCCCTGATATTAATACATTTTATGTTATGTATGTCGTATTCGTAAAATCTTATCGTACAAAAAGTATACAGACAAATTTGCTCACAAATATTATATTTTTTACCGACCGTATTGTGTAAACAATAGGTAGGTTATGTGATGGCAACAAATTTTGCATATCAAGTTTTCGGTGGGAATGCACTTCTCCATAGTAGGGAAATGTAAGTAAACTATTTTTAGCAACCAATCGGTCCGTCGGTCTGTCGGTCTGTCG